AATCAAAAACTGTTTATCACCAAGTTAGTTTCACATACAATGAATTTGTCTAATGTTGGTGGTGCAAAAAGAAACTAGAAGAACATAAGAGTATAACAATAAGAATAACTAAACAGTAAGGGAAAAACAATCAAATAGAAGACTAACGGTTGAAGATGAAGAGCTGTACAGTTGCACAGAAATGTGTGAGACAATGCTTAAGTGCAAGTGTCTTCCAGCATAAAATAAATCATCATTGTGAATATAAACAGACAATTCTCAAGTTCAGTCATGTTGAAGTGACATGTACAGCCTGATCTAGTCTGGGTATCACTCTAATAGGAGACGGCAGGGCTGGATCAGAGTTTGTGTTTGCTGTCATGTGAAGAAGGGAGTAACTATTGATGAGGCTTTTAGCAGAGGGGGAGCGACTGCTCTTGAGTTTGAGACAAAAAGGAGCAGCCATAGTCTTACTTACAGACCACACAGAGACCTTACAAAGTCCTGGAGAGATGACACATCACATCGTCTCTGTAAAGTGGATGAAAAGCTACAGTGTGCCCTTGTCCTTTGCAGTAGCTGCAGCAGAGTAGGAAATATATGAAGCGGTTTCTTTTGTCAGCTCTCTGACTCATGGTCACTAATTTCCTTAGATAGCCTTACACCATGTTTATAATCTTAGATATGTTAATTTGAGACACTCAGAGGACCATGAAATGAAAAGCCTTTATTTGTCAAAGCTGCAGAGTAAGAGTAAGGACATGCTTATGTATTTTAGCCTTTAAGGATCTCACCGGAGCGGGTACAAAGTGATCACCCAGCTGCTTCCCACACTAACAAGCAGTCACAGGATCACTGTGGTCACATGATTGGTAGTTACATGACCAATAAATCATCTTTTAGGTGAATACATTTAAGCTGAGGGATTTTAACAAGAAGTTTTTGTTATGTCAAAGTAAAAACAGCCCTAAGTGACTCCAGTATAAAGATAAATGTGTGGGCATGTCTTCACTCTAACTCCGCAGTCTCAAGAAATAAAGGCTTTTAATCCCATGATCCTCTGAGTGCCTCTGGTCTGTTGAAGAAGTTTACTCTCGGATCAAAACACTGAAGAACACCAGAGAGAGAGATACCACTTTTCTGCACCTTTTTCATACCCTTGCAGCTCACCACACCTCTGTTTTTTTCACATATTAATCACTCTTTAAATGCAACTTCTGCAGACCTCTACAGGTTTTAATTCAAGTTGAAGATTATATTTCATTTCATTTCAACAAAAAATTTCAGTTATTCAAATCTCGCCTCTGCTTTAGTTTACAACCAGTGTTATCCTTTAGAGTTTTTGTCCTTGGTCCTGCTCCTGAAAAAGCTCTCCTCTGTTCAACAGACTTTAACTGCTCATAATAACAACGCAGTAAGATGTGAAATAATACAGAATCACAGGATACAATACAACACATAAAAATACAACACATTACAATACGATATGATCCAATATAGGGCTGGGTGATATAAAAATAACAATGTATATTGAAAATTAATTTCCCTTGATATTGATATAAAACATGGTCAATACACTTTTCAATCGTCGGCATTCTGCCATGTTTTGGTAGACAATACAAACAGCCAATAAAAAAGGGGAGTTGCTCCGGGTCTGCTTCATGCTGAACCAGTCATGTGCTAAATTAGAACCAAGTAGCAAACAACTGTGTAGTAGCAGGCTGCAGCTACATGCAACCATAGCACTTTAACACATGAAGCCGACAGCACTGTTGGGGAGAAAAAAGAAAATGAGTGCTACCCCGGCAGAAATGTAGATGAAGGCTAAACAGATGATGACATCATAGACAACACTGGAATGAAAACGTCGGTGTTGTGGAGGTATTTTTTATTTTATTTTATTTTATTTTTTTTAGGTTGGACTTGAAGCAGAGAAATGTGCACTGCAAATTATGTTGAGTACATGTTCTCGCAAAGTCGGGGAATACCTCCGCTTTCTCTAGTGCAACACCCTACGACAAAACGTTGAAGAGACGCGAAGACTTCACAGATACAGTGGCTTATTGTATTGCAAAACACATGCTACCAATAAGCACTGTTAAATTTCATTTAAGAGCACGGAACATTTAAGATTGGCATGTGATTTTTTTTATATCATGATATATATCAATATCGACTGATATGAAAAAAATGTATTGTGATAAACTTTTTCCTATATTGCCCAGCCCTACAAAATGATAGGATTTGATACAATATGATTCAATGTGATTTGCTGTAATTCGTTACAATTCGGAACATTGATGCAATAGGACAAGATACAATTTAATACAGTATGGCACAATGTGATACGATATAATACATTTAACTTAATACCATATGATACCATGTGATTTACCATGTGAACACATTGCTTCACTCTACACTATGATACAATAGAATATGATATGTTATAGTACAATTCTACAGTATATTCAAGATACCACATGATATGATACAACACAATAGCAGATGAATGTATATGTATTAAGACACCTCATTGTCTGTGAAAATGCATGGCCTGTACCCAGTTGACCTTTAGACTCCTTTTTAGCGAGGAGATGGACTTTGCTCCCATGAAACAAAAATATAAAACTTTTATAGAGTACCTGTCAGTCTACAACATCTACACTTTACTGTCTTAGCTGCTGAAACAAAGAGGTTCTTTTCAATGTCTGCGCCAACTTTGTGTTTCTTTGTAAGAGACTTTGCTATAAGAGCAGACAGGCTCCAATCCACCTCTGAAAAACATGCTTTACCTCTGTGTGACCCCTCTTCAACTGATAGTCAGTGTTGCACAACAAAACACACACTTTCTATGAACCTCCTTGAGAAGGAAGGCCTGATTTCATTCTTAAGTTCTGGTGTGATTTACAGAGCTTGATTTGCATGTTACTGTTACTGCGTATTACATCTCGTTTTTTATTATAGCAGCTGGGTGTAGGAGACAGAAAAAGTCTGTCCAAATCCTTGCAGAAATACAAATATCTGCAATGATTCGACACAAGACCTTTGTCAAATAAACAAAGAGTACGTAAAGAGTGGGTCTTTCACAAATGTTGTATTTAAAAGTTATGTGGAACAAAAACCTCAAGTTGAAACCTCAAGCTCTAAAAGGAGTGGTCCTGAAACACAGCTTTTTATTTGTCTTTGTGTGAATGTATGTGTGTCTTTGGGCCTGTGTGTGTGTGCTCTAGGAAAAGACCAGGGGCTGCATTTGCATAGTATGTTCGTACACGAATGTTTTGTTTTGGTTGGTTTTAAAAATGTATTGTGAATTTAAGTTAAGTATGTCTGAACTTATTTTCATTGCTTTCATTGACTTTCCTTTGAGTTTTTAATTTCCCTGAAAAGAACAAAGTTTACATTTTTATAAAATGTACTTTGCATATAAAACTGCATTGAAAGTTGAATTTTTTAGACCTTTTACTTAATGAAGGTCCAGCAACGCAAAGCTGCATTTAAAAAAAAAAATTGTGCATGCAAAACAGCGTGTGGTAATTTTCTGCTTGGAAGAAAAATTAGAACTTTGAAATAAGACACAATCACAATCTACTTATACTTTTTTTACAAGCACTTAAACCATTTATTTTTGTTATTTCACACATAAATGTGTTTGGGTTTTTTGCCTTTTAAACAGTGGTGCTCCCTGTAGGTGATCAGCCTGTATATTTGTGTTTATTCTGTCTGTTTCAGGTTTCTTCACGCTCATTTTTCCACAAGTTTCAACTAATGTGCTCACTGTTTTCTCATCAAAGTTCAAATATCATGTCTTCCTGTTTTTATTACTCACTCCCAGTGAGGTGGGTCCTGTTTCCTTTGATGCCTTTGCCTTGCAGAAAGCACCCTCTCTGCACCTCAATGGTGGCCGGTCTTTCTCCTTTAGTTTGGACTCAGTGTGGAAGCTCCTGTCAGCTAACCTGTTAGAGAGGCTTGATATTGAATCTTATTAAGTTTATAAATATCATGCTTCATAAAACCTTCACTCTGTTCAGTCTTGTGTCACAGTGGCGCCCCTGTGCAGCTGTTCTTTCTGCTAACAGGTAGTTAATCTGTAAGCACAGAGAGCTCCCTTTACTCTGCAGGAGGGAAGGAAAACTGGCTTATCAGAAACCCAACCAAATATGGAGAGGTGAAACTACCAAGTCTATGAAGTAATGCAGACATGAACGGAGGGCGGAGCCTGTATACTTTTTATAACCTCATATTAACCTGTATTTTTATCAGTACATGATAACACATCAGGAACAGGTTATGATAAACATTACAGAACTTTATTTCCACTCTAATCTATGTGTAAGGATGACCGAAAGAGTGTAAACAGGGTGCTGGTATTGGTTGAAACTCCTCATAAAAATGCTAATGAGCTTGTGTGACGTCACACCACACTGCAGAGTGAGTCAGGGTCATAGAGCTACATCAGGTAACAATGACACACAGATATTTCTAGGAATGAAACAATGCAACATTACTCTGATGAGGCAATGCATTGAAATATTTCAAAAATGCACCATGGCAACACACCTGCACATAACAGGAATGTGCTGCAGGTACACACACACAAACACCCACCCGCACACACCTGTGCATGTGTGCATGTTTCCTCTCTGCTGTACAAACATCTACAGTTACACTCAGACTCGAGTACAAGTGACCTGACTGGTCTGACGGGACTCAGAGCAAACACTGCAGCTATGAACGCGAACTTGCTGCTTCTGGACAAACAACCTGCAGCAAGTTTAACTTTTAACATCTTCTCAGTGATGAGAGATGTTTGAAATTACCTCGAGACTCTGCTAATGCAGCTCAAAGACTCTGTGTGTGTTTGTTTACTGGGTGGTCCCTTAAATTCCTACAGTACCTTAGGCAGCATTTATGTTTGTCCGACTATAACCGGTTTGAGACAATGGCGATTCTGTCTGACAACAATAGGTGGAAATCCAGCTGCCGAGAAGTGTGTGCGCAATCCGTCCACATGATGAGCCACAGGAGGAATGTGAGAATAAAGGAAACTGCGAGGAAGCTTTTTTCTTTTCCACATTAGCTGACACTTCTTGTGCTTTTTGAGTTTCATTCATTCTCCCTCTCTCTTTCTTTCTCTGCCTTCTTTCCCTCTCTCTCTCTCTTTCTGTCCTCCCTTGTCTGCCCAGCCTGGCCCGCCCTCTCTCCCTCCTTTCCTCCCTCTCCCTCCTTGCTCAACCTGCTTATCTGAGCTGGGCAGGGCTCGATACACTCACAGCACAGGGGGAGGGCCTTGTCTGCTTTCAATCAATAACCTCTGGAATTCAGAAATACAAGTAGGTCCTGTCTCTGGCAGGCTGCACCACACTCAGGAGGGCGGGCTCGAAGCCACACTCGACAAACTCTCTGTCTATCTGCTCCCGGCTTTCTCTCTGAGCGTTTCCTCAGGTCTTAACCGTGTTGTTAGTCCATCACAATGGCTGACCACACTTCCCCAGACTACTTCAACTGCTCCGTATGTCTCAACCTCCTGAAGGACCCGGTGGCGATCCCCTGCGGCCACAGCTTCTGCATGGACTGCATCAGCGGCTACTGGAATGAAGCTGACTATACAGGGATTTACATCTGCCCCCAGTGTAAGATCACATTTACCCAGAGGCCTGTGCTGAGGCCTAACGCCACCCTGAGCATGGTGGCAGAGAAGATCAAGAAGAGCGGGCTGACCCTTAACCTCAACACCTCCCAGGGGAACATCTACGCAGGCCCCAGCGATGTCCCCTGTGATTTCTGCTCCGGAAAGAAGATGAAAGCTGTGAAGTCCTGTCTCAACTGTCTGGCATCCTACTGCGAGAAACACCTGAAGCCTCACTACGAGTCAGCCACCTTCAAGAGGCACAAGCTGGTGGACGAGCTGGGGAACCTGGATAGGAAGATCTGCCCGCAGCACCAGAAGTCCCTGGAGCTCTTCTGTCGCACAGACCAGATGTGTATCTGCGCTATCTGCACTGTGAGCGAACACAAGGGCCATGACATTGTGTCTGCAGAGGCTGAGAGAAGTGAGAAACAGGTAAGATAAGCTCCTGGTCCCGAAGATTTTGACTTCTGATCGACCAAACACCTGCTGGAACTGAAGAGTAGAAATCAACCTCTTAGATTTGGAGTAGAAGAAGAAAAGATGTTTACGTTCAGAGAGAGAAGCAGAGACCCTGTATGGATCAGACAAATCAGCTAAATATGTGAAAGGTAAAGGAAGAGTATGGGTCATGTGGCATTAGGACAACCATTTCCGGCCAATCTTGGAGAGAAGAAAAGTGTCATTTCAGGTCAGAAAGTCAACTACTAACTGTATTTCTACAAAGAGATCCTTTAAACCGACTTAATACTTGAAGATTTAGGAAAAATCTAGTTCAGGGGGTGATAATAAAACCATTTTCAGTCAGTTTTCTGGGATGTCAAATGGCATTTTAGGTCAGAGTGATAAGTAAAGATCCTGTTCCCAGAGATTTATCCTTTTTATACTAAACTCAACACTGCTAGTGACGGGACAAGATTGGAAAAATCACTTTTCGTCAGCTTGTGAGAGAAAGAAAGTGTTATTTCTGGTCAGAGAGATAAGCTTTGACCCAGTTTCAAGAGAGAAACCTCAACTTGAGGCTCCTGTCTTAACTCTTTGAAGTTTCTCAGACCAATCAACCTGTAAAAAAGGTTCATTATATATATATTTCAGAAATCAATCATTGGTTAAGTATTTTGGCCAAAGTAAACAGGCTGTTTTCCTCAATTCTTCCCTGTGCTTTCAAACTGGCGTCTGTACTTTGACCCGTTTCACCAACACTATCAGCTAAACTGGCAGGCATTCACCGCCAAAACAAATCCAGCTCTCTGATTAGCCGTACGAACGCCGGGGGAGTGTCTCCAGCAGTTATCGCCTCTGAAAGCTGCTCTTTTTTCTTCAGCGAGAGAGTTTGGTGTTTTCCAGCTGTGGGATAGACTCACAGAAACTTTCTCTCTGCTGCTTTGGTTCCCACCTGTGGGAGTGGGGCTGTAAGGATACAGGAATGGAAGGGAGGAGGGAGTCAAGGCCCAGTGCTGATGGACACTCTAATGACTCACCTGACCTGCCGGCCGTAAAACTGGAGATAAGAGTGTCAACAGATACTGTGGGATAAATCTGGAGGGTTTTATTCATGAGGTTTTACAGCACAGTGAAGGATTTTTAGAGTCTGGTGTGGTTGTAATTCAGCTTGTTGTTTTCCTTCAGAGTCTGCTTTCTCTCATCCAAAGATCTACAACCTGAATCCCACGTCTCCCTCCATCTCCCGCTCTCCCTCTCCCTTCCCCCCTCCCATGTTCACCCCCCTCCTCAGATTCCCTACATTCCTCAAGCTTATCTTGAAGAATGGGTCGGTGGGCTTGAGTAAAAGCTGAATTAGAAGCCCCTCTATTCTGCATGTCAGCGCTGCATGCACCTTGAAACATCTCTTTTAAAGTCAGGCAGCGGTAGATTCACATTCCTGACATGATCCAAATTCCAGCTCAGATTTTTCCCCACAACTCTCCCTCTGAGATAAAAGCCGGCCGTATTAAGAAAATATCCTTTGAGGAGGCTTTATTAGACGAGCTGGAGGGCCTCCTCAGATATTCCTGCATGAGAACAATTTTTTTTTGACCAGACCAACAAATATGAGGCTTAAAATGTCCTACAATAAAACAGCATGCCATTCAGTGTCTGCGACTACCTTTGCATTTCTAATTAAAGAAAGCCAGCGTGGGAGTGCATGTGAAACAAAACCCTGTAACCTTAGATTAATGTGACTTTTTCTCTGCAGAAACTTTTAGGAATCTCCCAGGCTGAGATCAGACAGAAATGCCAGGAGAGGGTGAAGGAGCTGGAGGAGCTGAAGACTGCTGTGGATTCACTGAAGGTGAGTGGAGTCAGGTCAATGGGCTTTATGCACCGATCTACTACTTCCCGAAATTAAGACAGCTCCTTTATTTCCTGTCTTACATTATTGGATAAACTGATTAATCCAGGTGTGTCTGATTGGTCACAATGATCAGTTACACCTGGATTAATCAGTTTGTCCAATAATGTAAGAAAGGAAATCAAGGAGCTGCCTAAAGTTCAGGAAGTAGTGGAGCTGTGCATAGAGCCCATTAAGAACAATGAAGTAGGTACAACCATTTGTAACCTAAAATTAAACTCCCTTAACAACAATCTTTGAACAATGACAATTATCAGACACCTGGTTAGTCTCTGTTATGTAATGGCAATTTATAGAAGTCATGTCATAGCATTATTATTAGCTCTGAACCTTGAGTCTCATGCATTTCTCCCACCACTGCCATAGTTGTTGATAAAGATGTTAACACAAGTCCAGCCCCTTCTTCATTGTGATTGGTCGATGGTTAAGATGTGACTTGGCAGAGCACAGCAGCTTTCCAAAAGTTGAGCTAATTTTGACTGAGTGTTTCTGGTGAAATTGTTCTGCAAATTTTATCCATCCTACCACGTGAGAGCAGATTTCGATGCTTCTTTCTCAGGTCAACAGCTCGGAGTAGTCTCTTGGAAATACCGGCTCTTTTTAGTGATCCAGATTATTTGGCTCAGCAACAACCAGCTTTTTAGACTCCAAAGCATTTTATCAAAATATCATACATGCAGTCTCCTCAGCTCCCAAAGTGCCAACACCCCACCACAGTTGAGATGTCTGCTACACCAAAATGATGATGTTTTAGGAAACTGAATCTGACAGAGTAAACATTTACTTCAATAAATATACGCATTAAATTCAAAAATAGGGAGGATGATTAATGATTAACAGAATTGATAGACTTGTGTCCAGCTCTAGAGATTTTATAAAATGAAATATAGAAAACAAACCAAAATTAACAGAAACACAATTCCTTTTTTTTTTTTTAAAGCAAATGTATTTTTTGTAGTTGAAACGTAACAGACAAAACAAAATACAAAGACTAATGAAGTCACACGAATGTCCAAGGTTAAAGGTTTAGACTGGCTCTTCAGCTTATTCATACCAGTCCCTTTTACATCACAAATAACTACCACAAAAACCTCTTCATAGCAAGAACAGATGTTCTGTCATTATTTTCACCCATTGACATTAAATACCAACTGCTTATACTAACCCAAAAACATACTATACTGCATAATTTGATTATTCTATTGCATGACGAAATTATTCCTATTGTTAGTACTCTAAACAAATCTATCACTGGACCACAAATCAATCAATCAATCAAATTGTATTTACATAGCGCCAAATCACAACAGTCTTTATCCCAAGATGCTTTCCTAAAAAAATAAATAAAAAAAAGCAGGTCTGGACCACACTCATTGTTTGATGAATTACCAAGACCCAACCTTATAATGGGACAGAGTTGACCCATCTCATCGAACATGAGTGACAGTGGCAAATAACATCATAAAGTCATTAACAGGCCAGCATCAGATGAAGCTTGATGTAAATAAAACAAAGACATTCTTCTACTTTCGGAATAATTCATGAAATACAGTAAAAAGTTGTTACATACAGAAGTACTTGTATGAAACACTGAGAGAGTCATTTTTTCCCATGCAGAACTCAGCTCAGAGAGCCATGGTGGAGAGCCAGAAAATGTTTGAGGACATGATCCGCTCCATTGAGAGGATGAGGTCAGAGGTCACCAAGCTGATCGGCATCAACGAGAAAGCTGCTTTCAACCAGGCCGAGGCTTTGATCGAGAGGCTGGAACAGGAGATTGACGAGCTGAAGAAGAAGGAGACCGGACTCAAACAGCTGTACAGCACTGATGACCACATCCACTTTCTGCAGGTAGCAAAGCAGTTATCATTAGACGCAGCTTTAAATAACCACATCAGCATGGTCTGAGGAACACAGTGCGTAACTGTATTGTGCAGCAGAGGAGGGGAGTGATTATCCAAACATTTGGGATCTCAGGAGAGCAGTTTCTTGTGTTTTGGAAGTAAAAGGTTCAATTCTTTTCCAAAATAGCCGCTCAACAGGTTGGGATCTTCTTTGATGCATTTCTTGTGTCATGATGCACCAAATGTTTTCAATGGGTGACAAGTCAGGACCGAAGGCAGGCCAGTTAAACAGCAGGACTCTTCTCCTACAGAACAATAATGTCATAATGAAAACAGAATCTGGTTTAGCATTGTCTTCTGAAAAGGTCATTCACCAGACGACAGCATGTATTGCTCCAAAACCTGTTTATATTGGCCAGTATTGATAGTGATTATCCAGGTGTGTAAGCCACACAAATGAGGGGCATGTCTCCTCATACTGTCAAAGATGCTGATTTTTTAACTCTGTCCTGACACAAGGGTGGTCCCTCTCCTTTTTAGTGTGGAGGACACAGCATCCATGATTTCCAAAAAGAAAGCCAAATTTTGATTTGTCAGACTGCAGGACAGTTTTCCACTTGGCCTCAGTCTATCTTCAGTTTGCTCAGACCTGAAAGTTTTAACCTGCATTTGTGGATGCAGTAAAAATTGTGTTCACAGACAATAGTTTTGGGATATAATTTTGAGCCCATGCAGTGATTTCTACAACATAGTCATGTCTTGTTTATGCAATGCTGCCTGATGGATCACAGCCATTCAGCGCTGATTATAAACTTTGTCCCTTTTGTACAGAGGTTTATCCAGATTTTCTGTATCTTTTAATAATTTTATCTGCTGAAAATGATGAAATCCACAAACCTTTTCAATTATTATTATTATTTTTTTACCACGGAACATTCTTCTGAAATTGTAAAACTGTTAGCTCACAGTCTCTCAAGGACGATTCTTCCCATCTTCATTGCTGCCTCTGCTATTTTAATAAGTCATTGCAAATTGACTTCTTTTGCTAGGAGATTTTCCTCCTGTGTATTTTTAGTGTTATACAACTTTTTCAGTGTTTTGTTGTCCCTGTCCTATCATTTTGAAATATGTTGCTGATTTCTGACATGAAATGAAAGGAAATTTTGCACTATTTTCGAAAGAATATAGGCTTGAGATGACCTGCAAACCATCAAAACCTGTTTTCTCAAACTCATCTGAATTGGAGTAACACACTTGAAAATTGTGCTGCCATTTCAACAACATTTGAGCATGAAGTCAAGGGAAAATAGCAGCTGTGTTAACATAAGTGGACATTATTTTGATTTTTAAGACTCTAGTTGATGATATTTTATTTGTTGGGTAGTGAAAAGGCAGCCATAAAGTAGTGTAGTATCAGACATGAAATGAAAAGATGGAAAAGAAGGTGTGAAGTGTACCGTAGGTCATTATCCAGAGCCAAGCCTTTGTGATCTATGCATTGATTAGTGACCGCCCAGATACCAAACTATGTGTCTTACGCAGGTTGTAAATTATTCATATCGACAGTTTAAAGGTAATCGAGTCCTTTGTACACATTAGGCGTAGTGATATCTAAACTGGCCAGACAGGCAGTGTTAACATCTGCAGTTATGTTACTCACAGTTTTGTGAATGGGTTTCTCCATCTTCATACAGTGTGTTCCTTTGTGTTTAAATCTAGGCAGTACCAAAGGGAGTTTACAAAAACTTTCTATGTGGTCAAATGAAGAGGGCGTCTCTCATTCAGACAGCTCACTCTGATGAATACTTTCTTTTTTTTTTCCCCATCAGAACTTTAACTACCTGTGCACACCCACTGATGACAGCGTCATACCCAGAGTGATGGTGAACCCAGACTTCTCCTTTGCATCTGTGAGGAAGGCCGTGGCTGAGATTAAGGAGCGCCTGGAGGAGTTTGGCAGAGAGGAGCTTTTAAAGATCTCCAAATCAGGTCTGACAGGAGTAGTAACTCTCAACATATACTTTAAGAGCTTAAACATCAAACAGTTTCCTTAACATGACCTTTTCATGTTTGATAGTGAATGAAGTCCCAGTGTACACAACAGCAAGCCGGACACTGGACAGGAGGAGCAGAGGTGAGCTGTCACGTCTCTAAGCTATAGAAAGCCACAGGAGGTTAATGATTGTTAGACTGATAAAGTAGAGCATAGCACAAAGCATTGCATCATACAGGCTTTGTTAAAAAGACATCATCTCAGGAATTACAGGCATGTGTGTGGGCGTTCACAGATCACGCCGACCTGACTGTGTTTCTTTATCTGCAGGCAAAGAGATCATGACGGTGGACAACTCTCCTCCTCCAGAGCCCAAGAACAGAGCAGATTTTCTGAAATGTAAGTGCCTGGTGGATTTAAGGAGCTGTATTTCAATTGTAACACTGTCTCTTTTTTATGTGATCAGTCTTCACAGCCTTTTCGATCCATGCCTACCAGTTTTATCAACACAGGCTGTTATGGATATAAGAATATCAAAAGTACAGTAAAAACTATGGAGCTCTCTTCCTAGAGATCCAAACCCCACAGATATATTTTGAAAGCCAAAAACTCCCGTTCTGGGTTTCAAACTGGTTATTCAACAGATTGGAATTGATGCTTGTGGCACTATTGAACCTGAAACAGTAAAAGAAGACCATCAACAGTCAAATTGATCATTCATGTATTGTAGTTTTTTGTCTTTAAGTAAGTAACCACTCCTGGTAATGTGTCAGACCAGACAAGATACAGCACTGTGCCAAAACAGCCTTTGTTTATGTTTTCCTGAGCCAAGATTCACACTGAGCGATAATTTTGCTGTATTAAAAATTCTTTATTTATTTTATTGTTCTTCTTTTGCACATTTGCATTGTAGCTTTTTGGTGCCTGTCTTGTTTGTTATGATTTCGATGGTCCAGGAAAACCTTTAATTATTAAGAATGAGCAGCTGCAGCTCAGAGTGGCTGGTCTCCAAATTGGAGGGTTGGTGGGATTGATCACAGCTCCTGCATTTGTGTCGGGCAAGACATGAGACCCCAACTGAATGGGATCAGTTCATAATTATGGGAACTATTCATAGCATCCTCTGCCATCAGTAAATTAAGTGAGTCAGCATTTCTGATTTGGCAACCACCATCTTATTTGTGCAGGCACCTGTGATGTTTGTATATTTGTTTATTTGCTGATTTGTATGGCTTGTTTATTTCATTATCTATCTGAAGTGAATTTTTTGGCCTTTATTGCATTTATTTTAAGAAGTTAGGGGAGCAGATGATGCACTAAACTCTGAAAGTGGCAAGCATGATAGGGGAGCCATAAGCCAGAGTTGAATCTGGGCCCCCTGCTTGAGGCCAAACCTGAGTATACAGGGTGTGTCCGTAGACCACTCAGCCAGCAGTGCTCCTGATATCACCCTCAGATTCAGTTGGGTTATGAGTGCAGGTTATATGTACTTGTTGGGAGCCAAAGGGACGAAATTGACCATTAATTGTGTTATCATTATTACACGATTAGTCAATAATAAAAAAAATGTATTTTTTTCCTGCAGATTTCTGCCAGCTGAAACTGGACTCCAGCACGGCCTACAAAGAGCTGTACATCTCTGAAAACAGCAGGAAAGTCATCCGCACCAGAGACCTGCAGCCCTACGGGGAGCACTCAGATAGGTTTGACAGCTTCGCTCAGGTGCTGTGTAGGGAGGCTCTGTCTGGAGGCCGCTTCTACTGGGAGATCGAGTGGAGCGGGGAGTTCTCCATCGGCGTGGCATACAAAGGCATCAGCAGGAAGGGCAAAGGCTCGCTGTGCCTGCTGGGATACAACGACAAGTCTTGGAGCCTCCTCTGCTCTGACACGGGATACTCCGCTTGGCACAACCGTGTCGACAAAGCCATCAACGCCCCCCACTCCCCCAGGATAGGCGTGTACCTGGACCACACAGCAGGCGTGCTGGCGTTTTATAGCATAGGAAGTGGCATGACCCTGCTGCACAGGTTTGAGACCACGTTTGTTGAGCCGCTTTATCCAGGCTTTGGAGTAGGAACCTCAGTCAAGATCTGCAACATCAAATAAACACTGATACCTGAGCTCTTATTTCCCATGTTTTCTCACAATGAATAGCAAAGCTTCTCAAATACACTGTATAAATATATTTTTTGCAACATCTAAAACTGTACCAAAACCACATTAATGAAGTTTTATGGCTTATTTTTGCTCCTGCCAAATGTGTACATAGATTTTCTAACACTATACATCACGTCATTTTTTGTGCATTTTGCCGTTAAATTACATTTTAATAAAGATATGATAGTTTTAAGATGTTATTGAACACATATTTACAATATAATCAGACAATTGCAGTATAAAAAGAAGTGTTATCTCTTTCAGTACCTGATAATGACAGCTGGATAATGTCTCAACATGTCAGTATTTGATAAATGTGAGCCAGACCTGTTAGTGTTTCCTGTTTCCACTTATTTATTGACATTTACACAATGTTAATGCTTGATAAAAGGTGTCACTTATCTTAAATTATGAGGCATAAATTACTAAGAATCACCCTGAGACCAGAACAACAGTTCCCAATAATACGACATGTTTACAATCATAAATGTTTATTTAATATGATTGATCTGAGTGAAATTAATAGGTTCGAAATAGTGCATAAGCATATTTTTTAGTGTTTTGCACACATTTAAAAACACATTTCATTTTTTTGTCATGCTGTCGTGTTTTTATATTATCTGACTGTCATCATATTGTTTGCTGAGAGTCCTCACGGTTTATTTTTACATGAACTAACCCTTTATTTAATTTTATCTATGCTTACTTCCATGATGTACATCCAGAGTATGATTGATATCACATAAAAATGTTTTGGTAACAAAATTATTCATAAATAGTTCTTAATAAAGAGCTACTTGAATACATTACTGTGTGTTTTGTTATTTATTATTCCTAACCCTAAACCCAGTTAAACGTGGGTCCAGCCCTTCTACACAACATATGTAACAAAGAAAAAGAAAAGCTTATCCATTTAAAGACCCATGCCGATGAAAATCATGTTTTTCTTTTTTTCTACATGTTCATTTAGCATTTCTCTGATGCTACAGGACATATGAGAAAACTAAATGCGAAATTGCATTTCTGAGTGTTTCTGCATTCAAATCTCTGTGAAACTCTGGTAGACCCAGACGGCAGGTTCAGACACACAGTGAGATTTCCTACGTAGCAAATCGAAGCTCCGCCCCCGGAGCCCCGCAGTGCATGCCTAGCTCCAAAAAGGAGAGAGGACAACTGCGGAACAACTGTGTGCGTTAGCGGATTGCAATGCTCGTGATAGTTAATTATGAAATTAACTTTCATCATGTCCACAAAACCATGAGTGTCCGAGAGCTGAATAGTGGCAATGTTAGGCTGCAAGCTAGCGTGAAGAGGAGAGTGCAGAGCAAATTGCTAATGATCTACTGGGTCCCTGCAGAAGAAAAGCCCTTGAAAATGACAAAGGTAACATGATTTTGGCTGCAAACTTCATAATCACAACCTAAAGACCACTGATAACAATTTGAGTAGTAAAGAAAAACGATCGGAGTGGGACGGAGAGATTTACTGCTGGGATATCAGTTTGGTTTCTGTCTTGTGATTGGATGGGCAACAAGTGATTTTGCTTAGAGCCCACCTCCTGTACTCTTAGTATCTAGGGCACATATTTGACAGCCTCAGTGCTTTGATATTGATGGTGAGCTGAACAAATGGCATGTGTCCGCTGCATTACCAAACTGCTTGTGCTGCTCACTATGAGAACATGCTCTGCAATTTGCCACCACATTTTAAAGGTTTTCAGGCAGTTATCAGTGTTTTGTGATAAGAAGTAATGTAATAACTCACAGTAATGGGTATGCTGACAGCAGCTGGAGGAGCAACTGCCACTCTGTATCAGAGTGGAGGTGGAGGGGGTCTCCAGTTTTAAGTCTGTAGAAACCCCATTAAGTCAACACTTTAAACAAGCTGGATTAGAAGTTTGAGCCGTGGCTTCATTTATTGACAATTTCTCTCTGTACTGCTATTACTACACTGCCTTCTATATCAGCTTTTTTTTTATTTCTCTGGATTGTTTATTTTATCTGAGAGCCAACAGAGCAAAACAAAAGATGACTGTGGTTTAATATAAAAACTCTGGATAAAGGTCTCCTTTTATTTTAGGGTAAATTAACCCATTTCAACAATGTTTCTTCACTCCTCCCAAATAAAACTTACTTCAAATTGTCCTGTTTAAACTTGAACAGAGCAAAGAGAAAGAGGTTGGTGGTTAATTGGTGATTAAAAATACACCAAATACAGGAAATAACATTTGCACTCTTACACTCAGATCCTATACTTGAAGAGTAAAATCTCTTGAGTTTGGATCACCCCCCAGCCAAACTACATGATGCACACCTCATATTTTTAGATGCCTCAACTGGGTAGGACTAGAATCATCCCTGCACTGGGTTAGAAACAGTGAGTCTGTTTAATATGGAGTAAAATCAATAAATAAAACTGCTGTATGTTCTCTTACAAAGGTTGGATCCAAACTTTCCCAAACTTTAAAACTTCTTTGCGTGTAATATTTGCTTAACACTTACAGCTTCTGTGAGGAAATATCTGAGACAAATTTATCTCCTCTTGTGTACATAGTCTCTCTGCTGATCTTCTCCTGTCAGTGCTTGAGAAGTGTTTTTTTCATCTCATCCTGTTTCCTTTTGCCAGTCTCTGTTTCACTCATTGTAAATTTTTTGTGTTGCAAAAGTGAAACAGGGCTTTTCTTCAGTGTGCAGTCTGTGGCCTAGTCTGACACTGAATCCCTGAAAGTCTTCAGGAAATAGTTTACATGAGCAGGAACTCTCTGGTATGCAGATGTACCAGGATGTCTTACCAGCTGCCAGAACTCCTTCCTGTCCTTTTGCACAGTACAGTTTATCACGGTGATTCACAATAACACCTCAAATATACTACCCATGGCACTGAGACATGCATGTCCTCTAACTAGCGTGTTATGACACTCACTTGTCTGTTTTCTCCAGCATAACATCAAGTGAATAAAAACCTGCTGATCTCTCATTAGTGTTGGAATAATGAGGAAAAACCCTGAGTGCCTAATAATTTCTTTGCACCCAAGCTCCTAGATATGTTTATACAGCCAAATACAAAGAGACGGGGGGCCCTTTGTCTGAGACATAATGAAGTATTTTTTTCTGAGTGATTGTATGTTCAGAAAATCAGCACTATTCTCTTGTGTCTTTGATTAACTTCATAAAATTGTAATGATTTTAGGAATACAGAAAGTGTCATTGTTGCCTTAATGACAGTTTTCTTTGCTTTTTGGGAACACAAACAGACAACTATGTTGGCCCTGAAGGTCAATGGCACAAACATTTCAAGAAAGCAATAAAATCATGTTTTAGTTCATAAAACACAAAATAATTTTCCTAAATGTAGAAAAATACTTTTCGAATAAAAACTTTAACAAACACAGAAATGTTTCACATCAACATAAATTGTATTTGAGAAAGCACATACAAATTCTGAAAACACATCACTGAGAAAGCTCTAATATGTTTTGAATACACAAAACTATTTAAAGAAGGGGTACTGCGCTTCTTTTTAGACTCTACACTTCTTTTATGATACCTCTTTAATAGCTTAACATGATTTTTAGATCAGAAAAAGCCTTCCATTTCTCACTCTGGTGTATTAAAATGTAATTTTTCCTGAAAATCTGTGACCTTCAGGACCACTGTAGACATCACTGTTAACTTTAGTCTGTCTCGTAACCAGCAAAAAACTCCACAGGAGGTTTAATTTAAGTATTTTACTGACATATGATCCATTTGTGTCAGTGGGTGTAAAAACTTCCCGCTTTAAGTGACTCTGCTGAAACTTCATGACCTTGAACAACTCTCAAGCTCCCTCTGCTGGATGATGACAAAAACTGAACCAAAAGAAAAACATCCTGTCCTTTGATAAAGTTAGAACAATTCAGTTTAGCTGAACAACACAAATGCTCTCCACTCTGTTACTTCCTGTCTCTGTTACGTTAATGTGCGGCTGGGTGAGTCATGTTTAAAGTGACTTAGACAAAACAGCCTGAGAATCACAAACTCCTCTCGAAGGTCTCGACAAACAGACTTAAGCAAAAGTGATAAATTTGGTGATGGTTTCGGGTTCTGGTGTCAACCTTTTCACTCTGGATTTTAACCTGGAGTAATTTTCTTTTAGCCTTGGTCAACAATTTTGCAGCTGTTTCATCAAAAGCCTCCCTGTGGTCTTTATTTGGTATGATTTAAATTTGTATTACTGAATCTCACATATTTAGTGTTTTTACTGCATTGATTTAGAGTATTTTGCAATTTGTTCCAGATTTGTAGGCCTGATTTTATTGTCAATTTCTCTGCATATTTTATACTTCTTTTTTTTTTTCTGGAAACCATAAAGATAATCAGGGTCTGAATCAAAACATGTCATGCATGTTTTATAAAAAAGAACAAGGATGTTGGTTTTGATAACAATAGATATCTGTTTATTGGTTCTCAGGATTTTTGCAGGAAGTTAAACATAAAATACTACAAAGAAAAGAAAGAGTATGACAGTCCAAGATTTAGACATCATAGCCAATGATGCCTCTTTTACCGATGCACTCTCCGATGTAAAACCACATCAACACTTCTGTGGCCACCAGTCCATTCCTACAAGCATCCTGTGAGGATGGAAAAAAAAAAAGAATAAGATATAACTATAGGTCCAACATACCAGGAAACATGTAACCCTTCATGATAATATTTACAAGCATTCCATATTGGTTAGACTTAAATGTTAAAAAGAAGCAGATAAAGAGGAATATATTTCATTATGTTAAGAGAAGATCAACCAAATTGTTTAGTCATTGGCGGATATTCACTTGTCACAGCAGCTCAAGGTAACGTAGGATGGAAATCCAGAGACAGATGAAAAATACAAATGCAGAGTAACCATCATCAATGAGAAAGACAGATGATTAAAGAGGATAATTAGTGATAATTTATTGAGTTAATTGTTAAAGTAAGTGATCTGTCAGTGCATCACATAATGTCCTAATATTTTGTTACCCTCATGTTAGTTAACGAAGCAGATAAGCGTTTTTTTTTTTTATTATTATTGCATCATATAAATATATATATATATATATATATATATATATATATATATATATTTAGAGAGAGAGAGAGAGAGAGAGAGAGACAGAGAGAGAGAGAGAGAGAAAGACAGAGAGAAAGAGAGAGATAGAAAGTTATTTTATTCGCATTAAGTCAAAATTGGATAAGTAGTTCTACATGAAAAATTGAATGGTGTTTTTTGAGTTGTAGGCAATAATTATCAAAATGTAAATTAAAAACACCAGACACATTTTAGTTTACATGTTTTTATCTAAAATACATTAAATTTTCAGTTTTTTAATAATTGATGAAAGTTATTGAACTTTTTCTACAACACTTGATATGAATGACACATTAGTGTGAGTAGCAGTAAACCTCAGAATGAATATTTATACTATGATAATGTGACAAAGTAGATCTACATATACATTATAACGATGGGAATTTTTAAAGATAATTTCTCTCAGCACAGATAGATATGAAAAATGGCACTGTAGCTGCTAATTAACAAGAGTTTGATAAAAACCTATTGACAATTATATTACATGAACTTTTAGTCCATAACAAGAAAACAACAGTTGGTTTTCCTGGTAATGACATTAATAAAAATATCACGATCCCCATTGCTTGTTTACTGTTGGCTTTTGGAGACGTACTGAAGCGGTCTAAAAAACAGATGCATAAATACATAGAACAGGTCTGTCTGTCTGTCTTTAAAAAATACACATACCCTCACTGTGGTTTGACCCAGACGTCCTGACTGCAGACCCTTGAGAAGGTTCGCGGCCCCCTGGAGAGCCTTGGGGATCTCTGCAGGGGACGGGGGGACCAGCTCGACACGGGCGTAGTACCAGAAGGTGGCTAATCGGGGTTTGGAGTAGGTGACAGCGGCTGGAGGACGAGAAAAACAATTACGAACAAACATTCACATGCATGTGTTGTGACAGTTTGTGCTGTAGCTAGCTGCAGAACTGACCATAGCATTAGCCGCTTAGCTATCTGCAATGAACTCGCTGAATGTAAACAGTCCACGCCTGCTAGCAAACAAAGAGCCATAAAAGCCACAGAAACAAAACATTTTGTTCAGTCTTTAATCAATCAAATGAAACAAGCTAATGTTATATCGGTTTCATTCATTGATGGCCAAGTCTGCACAAATGACAGCGGAGGCCTCGCTGAGAGCACGTCTGTATCCTTTAAGTTTTTACAGCTTATGGTTCACTTTTCTTTAAAGGTTTACAAATAATTGTGAATAAAAACAGAAATTTAAGATAACTTACCACCGACCAGGGTGGGTACTTTAGCCACCAGTTTTTGCACAGCCTGTGCCATGTTGACCCGTTCAAAGACGCTAACTGGGACCCGACTGAATGTCACCTCCACTGCAGACCAGGACCCCGTTTGTAGCTGACCACTGAGGTGCCTGAACAGAAACAGTCTCCGTTATGTTTTATAACGCCAGGTGTTCGTGGCACAGCCCCATTAGGTTTGTGTTTTTATATAATTTCAGTATTAAATTGAGTCCCCAAAATTGCTCCGAGTTATCCTTTCGATTCAGTTACGTAATAGTGAAACGCTTTTAAATAGGCCAGAGTCATAATGCTAATGCAAAAGCTTTGGCCACTAGGGAGCGTAAATAGCCTTGTTTCGTCGAGGACATTTTGGCTGTCAGATTTTTTGTTCCTTGAACTATTGCAGGGGTTTAAGTGTTAGGCGAGACAATTCTCTACAAGCCCAAGAAACGGCATTTTAAATGGTTCATTATATTATTTAAACACTAAATACACATACAGAGAAAGGCTTCAGTCCAAAGGCGTTGCCTGCTGACACAAATAACGGGTGGGCAGGAGCCTAAATGTTCAGTCAAAGGAGGATTTAATATATATTGTAGTATTTAATAATAATAATAATAATAATAATAATAATAATAATAATAATAATAGGGATGAAAGTTTGACACACTGTAGAAGGAAAATACAGAAAGAGGTAAAATAACACATCAAACAAATGTTGGAGAGTAGGCCTTGAGAAAATGAATTTATTACCATCACATCATAGACTGTACATATCACATTAAAGTCATACACTATTCAATCTTTTCTGGCACAATAGGTAAACAGACACACAGTTGCCTCTTCTCCCAGTGAAAAACCATTCAATCAACACTTAAATAAATGATTGTAGGGCTAAGGGAGTGTTCTTGTTTCATTTAGCCCCCATCATCACCTTAACTTTAATGCCTGAAACTGCCATAAGCTCAAGAGCTGAAAAAAACAGCCCTGGTTTTTTGTCCATGTAAAATATTCACAATGATTAATTAGATTGAGTATTTAAATGCAGCGGGATACAATCTTTTATCAGGAGACACTATTGAAGTATTAAGAGGACAAAAACACAGAAAGTTACTGTCTTTACTTTGGATTTCTTCAAGCATTATTGCCTGTGGAAATTTATTGCATATTTCTCTTTGTCATTTACCTCATTAAAAATCATAGTGTGACATTTTATACCACAGAGGTCATGTTTAACGTGTTAATCTTCTTAATACTGAACTAAAACACTGACGCTGTTATATCAGACACAACACTACTCTGTAGTTGGTGCATCTGAAACTGTTTCATTAAATAAGGAACAATGAACAGTGAGCGGATAATTAGAGTGGATTGGAAGTCCAGCAAGGTGAACAGGTACCGTACTTGTCATGAGGATCTGTCACTCACAGAATTGAAACCTCATATTTGTCATCTTCCTGTAAAGATATGAACAAGAAATGAACGTAAAGATTTTAGTAACTGATGAGCTTATAAAAATGTAAACAGATCGGTAAAGTTAGATGTACTTCGTTTACCTCACTGTCAGAGATATCTCTGGGTGCCATATCAGTCTGCCTCACATCGTTGCCGGCTGTTTTATCCATGACCAACAAGGAAAGAAAATGTCCTCCTTCCTTCACGAGCATGATTACATCCTCTAGATTTTTCTCCTCCACGTTTTGACCGTTGACTTCCAATACCACATCCCCTACACATAACCCTGCACTCTGCCCTGAGCCCCCAAAAGCCACCTAGAAGAAGAAAACAACACTTTCTATCTTTATTTAATAGAACATTTTTGTTTTATAGTTTAACTTAAATGAAGGTTAACAGAGAAATTATTCCTCCTGACCTGACTGATGAAGGTCCCAGGTTTGTGTGGGATGCAGCCCAAGTTAAAGCCAAACCCCAAAGGGCCTTTTTGAAGAGAGCAGAGTCTGGGCTTCCATGTGACATCCATTTCATTTTTGAGCAACTCCTCGGTGAGAGAGGATAAAATCATGTCCTCTTTTTGTCTCTCAGCAGACTCATCCTCACAGAAAAGAAGAGGGGAAAGATCCAGCTGTGAAAACCAAAGAAAGGAGACATCATGAATACTAATGTGTTACACTCCTGCCTGATTTCTCTTCAGGTTCTCTCGTGAAAATGTAAAATAGTCTTTGTAATAAACTTTGAAGAAGCCATGCTAATCATTTGCACAATCATTTGTGTTGTGTTAAAGGAAATATGTTTGTTAAGAGACATCCACCTTGGAGTAGAAGTCCAGCCCCTGAGGAGTGATAGTGGTGAGGGTGACCTGCTGCCCGCTCAGTTTCACTTTGTTCACAATCTCATCGTGATCCAGAGACTCTACCAACTCTCCGTTCACCTCCAGCAGAATCTCTCCATCATTCATACCCTCTCTCTCTGCTGGACTGTCCTTGTCCATCTCTCGCAGAACATGATCTGTCATTGAAAAACATGCGCAGGTGTTTAAGGTGTTGACTCTTGCATCTCTTTCGGTCTCCTTCAAAGTAACTGAACACTTGTAGTGTGTATAAAGTTTTAAATTAGGACCCATGGCCACCATGAGCTCAGTAGATAGCTCCATCCACAATAAACTGAATACAAGTGGAGTTGGGTACAGTTATACATACCAGTTGTAGGAGCCACATTTTAGATCACTTATTATCCTTACAGTTTATCATTGTGCTGCATTTGATATGTTTTTTAATAATGAACTTTCTCACAAATCAGCTAGCCATGTTTACCCTTATGTCCAAACCAAAAACGCACTTTAGGCACATCCACCCCCTATGTGAACACATCAGAAAAGTGTCATAAATTGAGTACATGAACATATTTTTATTCCACTTTGACCGCAGCAAATAGGGCCTATTTTACTGCCTTAGTCTTGTTCACAGTTTAAAATTATTTATGTTTAGATTTTCATCCTACTACTCAAGTTACATAGTCACACTGGTGCATTGACCTTTAACTGCATGGATAAGTTATAGAATCGTTTATCTTGTTTACCTAAGGGGACTAAAATGAGTAAATGGCACCATCTACTGGATATAGTAAAGACTATAAATCCGAAGCCTGACCTGCAAATTAGTTGCATAGTAGGGAACATTTGAAGTTAAATGGTCGTCTCTAACTATTTCTCTCTTACGCGTGTGTCCTGATGGCGTCTTCTCCAGACGGAGCAGGAAGCCATAGCCCTCAGGTCCACATTGCAGGTGGAGTTTTCTGGCTCTGTAAGGCAGGTTGTAGGGAACAGCCATGGAGGGAAGGATGGGCATCCTCTGTTTGATGTAGCTCTGCTCACTCTCGCTGTCGATCACCAGGATGGTGATGCAGTCGCGACACTTCTTCAACTGCAATCAAACATTATTTTAGTTTGCTTTTAAGATGGTGTCAACTGCAGAACTGTAGAGAAGAAGGAGAGCTAAATGAGGACAGATGCCAACAATATGATTCGTGCTGAAAACCTGTTGATGTTGTCCTTTGTAAGTGTGAGTGAAAATGTACAGCATAATGTAAATATCAAATAAGCTGGACACAATGTGCTTCCAGTTTAACTTGCCTTCACAACCCTAACTGTAAACACTCAGTTAAATGAATATTATACTAGCATGCTAATGTTTTAACTTAACCATTAATTGAAATGCTCACTTTGATGTTTACTTCTGCTGCGAGGAGGATCAGGATCTGTTACCATGGTAGCGCCACCAACCTTTGTATTTTTCTGTACATTTGCCATTTTTAAATATATAAAATCTATTTTCCTTAAAACAAATTTAGTGTAACAATGTTAATAATTTGGGTGAGACTAGACCCTGATTCAAGTAGTTCCATTCAGTTTTTTGTTTTATGTCCATAACTGTCTGTTCACCATATAGTGTCCGTCACTTCATGTTCACAAAACTTAAAGCTTTCTGTTGACTCGCTTCAAGGTCACATTTTAACAAGGCATCCCAACTTGGCATAACGACTGTTAGCAATTAGCATGCTGTTCTACACCGATCAATAGTCAATTCTAATGGAGCCAAGCTACCTCACAGAAAATATCTACCTTATGTTTCTAAAATATGATTTATGACTTCCCAAGTCCCACATACAGACCCAGAGTCATTCAGCAAACATTAATATAGTTGAACACTGACTGAAATGAAAACTGAATTCCTCTGACTTCATCTTGGCAACGACACAAGACACAAAGACTAAAATAACATGAAAACTAACCACAATTTTCAAAAGTAACACTATTTTGTTGCTCATCTCAGTTTGACATGCTTTGTTTGGTGGTATTGGTATTTATCATACCATCCTGCTTAGCGCAGAGTGTGAGAGATCAGACACTGCTGCTCCATTCATCCACACCAGGCGATCTCCCTTACACACTCCCGCCTTCGACGCCGCACCTCCTGGGACCAGGCTCACTGAGAAGCGACCTTTCCCTCCTTCAGAGCAGAAAGAAGAGGAGGGTCTGATAAGTATGCACACATTTCACCAAAACACCCCTCTGTTTGTGTCTAGTGTTGAACCTTGTGCATACTGTGCTTATCAGACGGAGTTACCTTCCACAGGTGTAAAGCTGATGCCCAGGCCTGAGACCGGATCTTTCTTGATGTGGCAGAGTCTGGGGGGTTTGAGACCTTCACCTCTGTGTGTCCTGATCAAATTTCTAAGGTCTTGTCCTTGTGACAAAGCCTGTTCATACTCCTTCCCGTCCATTACTAACAGACATAACTGGTTTCCGACCATTCTTATCATAGCAGCCACCTGATTTAGAAAAGTTGATATAGCAGGTCCAATCAGAGTTTATTGGAGAAGAGTCTGTCAGATCAGTTAGTTTAGGGGTCAGTCTTACCTCAGGATGGGGAACATCGTCTACGAAACAGTTGTTGATTTCCAGAAGTCTGTCTCCATCTCTGATGCCACTGCGGTCTGCCACCCCTCCTGACACCACATTTCTGAAGATGTGACCCTCGCGTCCATTCTCCAGCCGCAGATAGAAGCTGTATGTTTCCCCTTCCTCCCGTTTAAGGACACATAAACGTAGGCTGGGGGTCGACTCAGACTCTGAGTGGGAGGAGACAGAAAATTGACGTCAAACCTTTTAGTGGACACTTTCATTGATGGTCCAATCTACTGGACAGGAACTGTATAAAAGTTACCTGCTTCCTCTGTGATGACCATCGCTGGGTTGTCTATGCCTTCTTTAGGATTAAATGTAAATTTCCTGCTGAGGGAAAAATGAGAAATATGGGACTTTATTGAGTTATCTGCAAAAACACTCTTTATTTTCAGATAAAGAAAAGTGCACCGTGTACTTTTGTGTGACCTTTTGATTATAAAGAGGGGACAATCATTTTAGATATATCGTTTTAAGGAGCCTGGGCCTTCATATAACCTGACTGAGTTGTTGGCATGTCATATCTTTTGATGTTTCAGGTAAATTGCTGTTCTTTCAGTGCCTGACCTCCTTCTGATCTGCTTCTGTTTACAGCGTTAGTGCCAGTAAACACTCCATTGCCAGTGTTGTATGCACCTCTTCCCCATTTCATTAGACTTCTTTGTCAAAGGTCACAACTCATACAGAAGATTAACAAAGAAAGCTTTTTCCACAGGGGGCGCTAAACTTAGCACAAACTGAAAGGTCCTCATAGGAGCTTTAAATCTGTTAAATTGTAACTATAGATGTACACACTGAGCTGGAATGCCTTCAATATAAGTGTTCTTACACTTAAATTAAACTTTCGCTCGTTGACCACAGCTTTAGCCTTTATTATCAATCAATCGATCAATCAAATTTTATTTATATTAAAGAGCTGCTATCATCTGATTACTGTCTTCTAATGAAAGTGAAAAGTTTTATCACCAGAATTTGTTGTAAAAGTAATTGATGAATTGAATCAATTGTTATTACAGTAGTTACAGTTTTCACTGCAGTTGAACTCTATAACCCTCCCTGTTATTGTCATTACAGCAACAGCAGAGTTTATCACTCTATGGCAGATCTTATCTTGAGCCCAAAGTCTTCAAGATTACTGCGTTTCAAAAGTCAATGTGCCCCAGCAATGAACACGCTAAGTTGACATTTACTGTTTTCAAGATCAGTGTTTCTGTTTAGTGTTGTTTGTGTAAAAAGTTACACATGGAAAGCACACTTACTCAAACAAATAGCAGATTTTCATTAGCCCTTAAAAAAGCGATTAAGTGATGCAACTTTCTATATCATCATGAAACTAAGAGATGAATATTGAAACGCATACATACAGATTTACCAGCCTTTGTGTTGTACCTAACCATATCAATTTTCTACCTGTATTAAAACCATTTGAATTATCATGTAAATAAGACATAACTGTCAGTCACATTATTGAGTATCAATCAATCAATCAGTTATTTGAACTTACAGCTCTGTGATGGTCAGTGCGGTTCAGCCTATGAAACCCTGAGGCATCATCTGAGCGAGTGAATTTTACACTAGCAGTGGATTACATATCTCTGAAGAGAGGTGTTATAAAACAGGGTTTGACTTTATGTGATAATCTTTCATCTTTGTCCTCTCTGAAGGTGGGGTGGGATAAAAAATAAAAAAAAAACTACTGTTAAACGTGTCCAATGTGCTGGTTAAACAGTTCAGTAACCATAGCACTACCAAAAATAATGTTAACTGAGATGCAGAGAAGATGCTTATACTCTGATTCTGAGAGAAATCTATTCAAAAGCTTTCAAATAAGGATTAAGGCACATACTGTTTTAGACTTAATAGTCAGCTATCATCACTGAGATAACATCAGGGAGAAACTGGAATGGTGGGAATCTCTTTCCATCAGGTCACTCCGTACAAATCCATAAAGCATACATTAATGTGTAACATTGGTCATGCTTTCTAACACGATTCAGAGAGATAATTACGCACAATAAATGTATATTCAATTCTGTCAACCATTTTTTTTATATGAGGTAAAATGTCACAGGGATCTTTTCTGGGCCTCTCCCTGTTCACTTTTAATACATGAGTGTCTCTGCTGAAAGTAAAGTGAGTATCTATGCCGATGATAATGTGTTATACTACAACACTGTCTGAGTCTGTGTTACAGTGTTAAATTGAGATCGAGCAAATATCCATGTATCTGGCTCACACTACAAAATCAAAACAAAGCAGGTGTTGTTGTTTTTTCTTAATTTATCTTCTTCCCAATAAAAAGGGCTCATTAGATTTTATTCAAGTAACATCCATCTGAAACTTGCAGTAAATATCTTATCTGAAGATATTAGAGGCAAAAAAAAAATGCTTTGAATGAATAAAAACAAGGGGGCTGTGAAAAATTGGCTTGTCAAATTGATTGAACTAAAAGTTAGTTTCCTTACCAAACCATTTCTGAAGTTTGTTATTAAGTTATTCATTTGTTTGTTTTGTTTTGTTTGTGATTATTTATTTGTCAGAGTATTTGTTTCTTGATCAGTTAGTTTGTAACTAAGGTTGGTCATGTTTTTCATTGTTTCATTATTTTTTATTGCAATTTATTTACTGTAGGTGTTTGTTTTTTGTTAGGTTGATTATCATCTCATATGTTGTTCTGATTATTTTGTTTTTGTATGTTTGTTTTTTTTAGTTATTTGAGGGGTTGTGTATTATTGGGGGGGTATTTTTCAATATTTTTCCTTTTTTGTATATTTTTCAATTTATTATTCATGTAATTATTATTTCATTTGCTTGTTTTTTTTATTTTGTTTGGTTGGTTATTTACATATCTTTTTGGTTCTTAATTTCTACATATAACTTTTATCTTTTATATTTTTCTATTTGTTCTTTTTTTTACTTGGACACAAAATACAAAAAAAGGCCATTTCAAAAATCTGAAAGCATGTGAGTGGGTGTGGTGACGACCCGATATGAAAACCACACTGGGAAAATAAAACCACCTACAGTCAAGAATTTACTTATAATGTGCAAATATTAAACTAAATGAGAAGAAAGCAGGACTCAGGTGAATGAGAGCTCTGTAAGGTTCAATTCTCCTTTTTTTTTTTTTTGTAAATGTAAAGCGGAGTTGAGTTTTTGCAGTGTATTTAGAGATGGTCAATGTGCATTAACATATTGTCTCCAAGAAGATATACTCTGAAATGTAACAGATAAACACTTTCCTGTTAAACTGAATCTACAGATACATATTATTGGATTTTTGATGGCATTCGATATGCCTTGATTTTCAAACTTATTTCAGCTAGTACTGATATTAACACTGGTATACATGTACTGTATTTTCATTGTATAGCAGAACTTACCTGCTAATTGTGATAGTCCATTTTTTTCAGGTCCAGACATGAAACCAAACAAACAACATGATGAACATGTTATTCTGTTTCAAACATAAAGTAATGAGGCTGTGGTCTGTTTCCAACTTCAGCAAGCTTCCCTACGTTCGACTCATGAAAGCTGTCATCGTATGTGCAAAAAATGCATGACCTCTTTGACTGATAATTGAGTTTTTATATCTTCAGATAAATATATCATGCTGATAATATCATGAATCCCTAACTGAAACAGTAGCAGCCTCAGTGCAAAGCCTTAAAAAAAGCTTGGTGATTCTCTCTGATCTGAATGTTATGAGGGTGTCAGAGATATTACCAACCACATTTCTCACCACTCAGTATTTGTAATCTCTCCAAATAGGCACAAATACAAATAAGTGTCAATGTATAAATGTGAAATTTTATACACTGTGGTTCTTGTCTCCTTGTCAAGGCTGCTGGGTGGGATAAATAACTCCGACCTGTCCCTCTCACTTCTTATCTGTGCGGTTCATTAGCCAGTGACTCAGTGTCCTTGTTCTTGTTATTGTAATGTAATATTATTAGTAACTCCCAGTTCCCAGGTTAAATCCACTCCTTACATCACATCTACTGAGTGATGTAGGAGTTTCTAAATAGCTTATAGCACAGACACTTCAAGCAGCTAATGGGTTACTGTTTACTTTTCCACACAATAAAACCCTTTTTTTTAAAATGTCCCTCTCTGCCATAGCAATGCTCCATATACTCACACAGAGGAGAAAAAATTGTTTTTCCCTAAACGGAAAATATAGTTATAGATTCTGCTAGCCTGTAAGCACCACCAAAAAATACTTATTTGTTTCCATCACAATTTACAAGGTGGATTTGTTGACACTGTGTGATCTTAACATGAGCTTAGATGCAGCACAATGAAGATGGAAATGAAGTGAGAGGTTACATACTTGAGAGTATATAAATATGTAGATAATAATGATAATGACATAACAAAAAAGTAGGACTGTTTGTAAAAATAGCTTAAAAATTAAAATTCAGATGTTTTAAAGCTTTCAAATTGTTACCTGAAATTTTCTTCATGTTGTTTCTTCCCCATCAGGTAAACAGTCGACCACTCAGACAGATGTGAGAGGACTGTGTGTCCAAACATTTATTCTGACCACTCTGAGACTCCTCCCCCTGAGGGGACCCTGGGCTTAATGTTTAATCTGTGTGTGAAATTTCCACCACATGTATTTCTGCCTATTGTCTGCTTTGAATTGCCCCCACAGATTCAAAGTGCAAAACACATAGCGAGAAAGTAACTTCTTATCTGTCTCTGACTTTCATTGTGTCAGTCTAGAAAAATTACACTGATTTGAGCATGAGTGTGCAGACTCTATCTGTGTGGCTGTTCCCATGAGTTACACATCCAGAACTGACGGTCAGTGCCAAGGCCAAAGCTCAGTGACAAATAGTCGGTACAAACAAACTGACACTCAAACACAGTAGATATTGATAATGCAGCTGGTGCTGCAGGGAGGAGCAGACGAAGAAAGAACTCAGATGAGGAGCATGACTCAGAGCTGACTGACTGACTGAAAGTGATGAGAGGAGAAGAAAGAAGGAGGGTAATCAGACTTATAAAAACATTGTTACTGGTCATATCAATTTCCTGTGAAGGCTTCCAGGAATCCATGCAACAGCTAATGTGTCATTAATGATAAGCCGATGATGCCTCATGAAGATCTGGAACTTTCTGCCTTTTTTTTTTCCGATAGGAGCTACCGTTTTGTCAGAATAAGCACAAATGTGAGACCAGCACTGAGGCAAGAAAAATCACTTTTTCTCATCTTGACTTCTTCAGCCTGCAGTGCGTCTATTGTCATGGGCAACCAACTCATGTTGCCATGGCAACTTGTGAGCCTCAGGCCAAGCCCACAGCTGAGACCAATTTACTAATCAGGGACAGTTCTGATAATCTGCATCACTTTGAGAGCAATTTGATAAAAAATAAAAAGCTGACTCTCAATCAAAATCCTTATTAGATCCATGTGGCAAACCCACTGAGGCACTGGCCCCTATATAATAGAGATGATGTACTATAAACTTTACAGCAGGTGCCTCTGTAATAATGCCTTAGGGCAAAGCCCCAAGTCACTCTTGCAGCTTAAAGAGTTGTTAGGACAAACTTTATATTAAAGCATGCTGTTTGATCAGGATCAGTGTGCTATAACTTTTCTCTATTGTATATAAATTACGTCACGAAAAACTGTGGAAAAAATGAATTACAGTCAATGGGACCAGCCCCCCAAAAAAGGAGCAATTATCAAAGTTTTTCAAAGGTGTGTCAGAGGTGTCAGAGGTGTGCTCCCTGTTTATAATTTCAAAATGCTACTAGTATTAATTATTATTTATACATATAAAAGAAAAAGATTGTCAAAATACCCCCAATGGGAGAAGTGTAGGGGGGAAATCCCATCAATTTTTAAAAAATGCCAGTCAAAATTAGCAATTTTGCCATCACTGAGAGGGTCGTGACAGACCTGTTCTCAGTCAAACTGCAGTGAATCTTTTCCATACAGTTTTGATTGGTAGAATAAGTGGTCTCTAAAGCAATGGTTGCATCATGAGTTGGTGGGAGGGGATGAAATGATGTTGTTTTGTTGCTTGTAATTTTTTTAATACCTTTGAATGCAATGACACCTGCATAAGCACTGGATGCATTAGGGCCTGTGTCTACTGACAGTTTGTAGGTTTCAGAGTGGTGAGCATGGACTAATTGTTTTATTTTGGTGAAGTATTCCCGTTTCCTGCTTGTGCTGTGTGTGTGGCTGCTTACCTTTCCCCAGAGGCTGCTCCCCTCCCCCAGCTGTGGCGGTGAGGCTGATTGCACTCACCTGTTTCCAATCAGCATCTCCGGGGTATAAGACTGCTGCAGACCTCAGCCTCAGTGACCGAGAATTGTCGCCTCCACGCAGTGGTACACGGCTCTTCGTCTTGATGAATAAGTATACATTTTGGAAAGATTGATGGTGAAATTTACCTGGCCCCTAATCCTCCTGTTTTCTGTCTTTTCCAGTGTATCCCTCTGTGCCACACACCAGCTCACAGACCAGCATTCTCTCTGACTCTTTTAGTTTACTCTGGACTCCTGACTACCTTGGTTTCTGTATATTCTTTCATAAATTAAACCTGTTAAACCTTATCCCTGTCTGGCTGCTTTTGGTTTCAGAACCACAACCCGTCACAGAATACTCAGTCCAAACATGGACCCAGCGGACCCAGACCCCCTCAGAGGGGCAATAACCCAGCAAGGAATCCTATTGAGACGACATGAGAACATGCTACAGGTACTCATGGATTCATTACAGAATCTCAGCACACAGGTCACTCACCTCTTGCATCAGCTCATCTCCTGGCTCCCATCCCAATCCTCCAGATCCACTCCCACTGTGAGTACGGCTCCCTCTCCATCTCCCCTTGCCCTCAAGGAGCTTTATGTTCCGCCTCCAGAGCCCTACGCTGGGGAGATAGGAAGCTGCAGGGGTTTTTTGTTACGATGTTCTTTAGTTTTTGACCAGCAGCCTCTTATTTACCTTTCTGATTGCTCTAAAATAGCGTACGTAATTAATTTATTAAGAGGCAAAGCTTCGTGGGCTACAGCCATTTGGGACCCAGTCCCCAGTTCTAGGTTCTTTTTCTAGTTTTGTAGAGGAGCTCCGCCGAGTTTTGATCACCCCACTCAGGGTCAAGAGGTGGCTAAACGCCTATTCGCTCTTTCCCAGGATTCTCAGTCAGCTGCCGATTTTTCTTTTGAGTTCTGTATAGCAGCCTCAGAGAGTGGGTGGGGGAACAAGAGTTAAAGTGGATTTTTCGTTAGAAGCTTCTCTGAACAGCTTAAAGATGATTCAGCCTCCCGGGATGAGCCCCACTTGAGAGAAAGATGCAGGGAAAAGGCTCAGATGGCTACCTCCAAACCAAGTGTAGCAGCTCCCTCTGTAGGTTTGGCCAGATCAGCACCCCAACCATCCTCTCCGGTTCAGCCTGTGACACCACCTGAGGAGCCCATGCAGCTGGGGCAGACGCAGTTGCATCCCAAGGAAAGGCAAAGGAGAATTTCCCAGAAGTTGTGCATCTTCTGTGGCCAAGCGGGCCATTTTCTCGCCTCCTGTCCCCTGAAGTTAAACGGTTGAGCTCACCAGTGAAGGAGAGCACCCTGGTGAGCCAAACCTCCACAACCCCCAGCCCTCCCAAACACATCTCTGTTCCCTCCTGTCTGCTCTGGGGGAAGGATTCTCTGCCTCTCCAAACCCTCACTGACTCCGGTGCCGACAACAACTTTATTCACGAGGACCTGGTTGATCAACATCATCTCCCCCTAGAGCCCCTTTACTCTCTGAAGAGGGTTACAGTGTTAGACAGCCGTCTATTAGCCACCATCACCCATCGCACTGCTCCTCTAACACTCATCATCCAGCTGTTTGTCATCCCCTCTCTACACTCCCCCATAGTACTCGGACTCTCCTGGTTGCAACTTCATAACCCCCACATCAACTGGAGTGTTCACTGCCACTCACACTGCCTTCGCTCCACAAATCCCTTCCACAACTGAAAGAGGGCAGCACCAGACCAACCATCCCTCTCCACTGTGACTATCATGACCTCGTCACCGTCTTTCGTAACGAGCTGTCACTTTTCCTCCCTCCACATCGCCCTTACGTCTGTGCCATTGACCTCCTCCCCGGTGCTCCCCTTCCTAGTAGCAGACTCTACAACCTGTCCTGTCCGAAGAGGGAAGCAATGGAGATGGCGCTTAATACTCCTCTCAGCCACTTCGAGAATTCAGTGATGCCGTTTGGACTCACTAACGCTCCAGCCGTCTTCCAAGCCCTCATAAATGATGTTCCCCGTGATATGCTTAACAGGTTGTCTTCGTTTACTGGGATGATCTCCTCATCTTCTCCCACAGCCTGGAGGAACACAAACAGCATGTCTGCCTGGTTCTTCAGAGACTGCTGGAGAATCGCCTATTTGTGAAGCCAGAAAAATGTGAGTTTTACTACACCTCCGTAAGTTTCCTTGGGTACATCAACGCCCAAGAAAAACTCCAGCCAGACCCAGTGAAGATCCATGCAGTCAGAGAGTGGCCACTTCCCTCCTCCCGCAAAGAACTCCAGAGATTCTTTGGCTTCTCAACTTTTACCGGGGGTTCCCCGGTATTCGCCAAACTGACGACTCTGTTCACCTCCGCCCCTGTGTTGAAACATCCCAATCCCTCCTTGCAGTTTATAGTTGAGGTGGATGCCTCGTACTCTGGAGCAGGAGCAGTTTTGTCCCAGAGGGGTCCGGGAACCCAGAAGCTACATCCATGCGCCTTCTTTTCCAGTCTTCTGTTTCCTGCAGAAAAGAATTACGACGTCACCACTGCCAGCAATAGAGAGTTGCTGGCAGTGGTGTGGGCACTTCAGGAGTAGAGGCACTTGCTGGAGGGAGCCCAGCATCCATTCCTAATCTGGACTGACCACAAGAATCTCTCTTACATGCGTTCTGCTCAGCGACTCAACTCCTGTCAAGCACACTGGGTGCTGTTCCTGAGCAGGTTTAACTTCACCCTCTCCTATCATCCTGGTTCCCGCAACGTTTAGCCTGACCCTCTACCAAGTCTTCAACTCCTCTTATTGCGAGGAAAAGTGCAGGGGTGGAAGGTATCCAAAGGTCCGAGGGCTGTGAGACAATCCAGGGGAGAGTGTTGGGTTTGTGGGCGTGAGGCAAGGAGTGAGGCACACTGCTTGGAGAGACAATACTTTGGCGCTGAGGCTTGTGTCTGCAGTCAACAGTCTTGAAGCCGGCTTGATTGCAGAGCAGCTGCAGGTGAGAGTAATCAGCCTTAGCGCTGTGGGGGGAAGGGAGCAGCCTCTGAAAAAGGTGAAAGGAACAGCAAACAGCCCGCACAGGAAATGGAATACACCAAAATAAAATGTGCTGAGTGTGTGATCACAACACAAGTTCCTCAAAGATTCATCATAAATGTCGTTACACACTGGCAAATTAGCGAATTCTCTTTTTTTTTTAAAGAATAAAGTTAATGCAAGCTTCCCAACCAGCTACAAACTT